TTCTCTAGATTAATTAGAGTGCATTCTTGTAAGAGAGGACTCAACAAGGAACCCTTAGAAATGTCATCAGTTTTTCTGTAAAAATCATACCAGGATCTGAACTGAAGATAGTGTCATGGAATACGTAAACTCTTGGACTGAGAAACAATCCCTGTATTTGAAAGGCAGATAAAGACATATTACAATAACTGAATACATATTTCTTGTATGCTTTGAGCAAAAGAAGTGTAGAACTCCTTTTGTCTTAATCTCTTCAAAAGCCATAATGTCATATCTTATCAGTGTCTTTTTACAATGGCGTCAACAAGTGTTATCTCGTAAATCGTATAATCCATATATTATTTTGTGTTCAGCCTCTACCACCCTAGATTTTGTCTCGTCTTCGTTATTCACGAATAGTTGTTTAATATAGTGATATTATGGTTAGGTGTGGTTTTGACAAAAAATTTTCAGCAGGGTTCAGACTTTCTTTATTGCTACAGTAGCATTTCATTTGATGACTCAGTAGATTCTTTTTGTTGTTTTCAAATTGTGAAATAATCATCTTTTATTAACGCTCATAGAGTTTAGATAAACTTTTACTCTTTTTGTTAATCTCGGTGGTTGAAATTGGATTGTTTCGGATCCTTCTTCTGGTCAGTTGTGTCCGAGCGCTTCTAGTGAAATAAACCAAATAAAAACTATTGACAAAACCACTTTCATATCTACATAACTCATAATTACAACATAAATCAGGCTGTATATACAAAAGAATGGAGTTAAACTATTGTGAAAATATCCGAATGAAATTTGTTTCAATTAGAAAGAGATTAGATTATCAAATATTTGTTCTCTTATACTGGTAACTGGCTACCATGCGACTGCATTTTCTGATGTTTCTCCACTGCCTTGTGGATCAGACCTTTAGGTAGAAGGCTCCTGGTGTGGCCCTCTAAGAAAACCACCTACTTCAGTCTGGACACCCGGGTAGTATCACGGCCCACACACAAACCAAGTGACTTGTGTGGTGCCCCTTTTTACCAATATTTATGTGTCCAAATAAATAAACTGAAAAATTAATAAAATTAGTAAGAAGATATTTAAGCAGAAACATTTTTTTGTTAGATTTCTTGATATAAAAGGTAAAAAATAATAATCCAAGATATAATCATGTCACTATTCATTATGTTGCTTATTTCTTTACCAATTATCAAACATAATTCAGTGTATTGCTCAATATTTTATCAGAAGAGATTATTATTATAATTCTGAACTGATTTTTCATTAAATGACAAGATGCTGTTATAACTAGATCGCTGTTTTGCTGATATGGGACAATATCAAATTCTAATAGAAATATTCTTTAAACACAAAGCCACTAACAAACAGAGTGTGTAAATTCGTACTGAGTTCGATTCCCGCATGAGCAGTAGTGGGTGTATGCTGCTGAGGAGTTCTAATCTAGAACCAAACGGCTGCTCAGTTCTTCCAGGTTTTTGATGGTGATCTACTTAAGATCATTTCGTAATTTTAACTGTTAATTTAAAGAAAGAACCAGATATCATTTTTCTCAATTAATTGTTTAGAATTCATTTTTATTACTAAGCATAACATCTTAGTTGACTTTTAAGTCCATTACATCCATATGTCTTTAATTATAAAAACATATAGATTTTACACAAATTCATGCTTGACTGGGATATTTTGGTTGATAGTTTTCAAGCACTATTATGTCGATAAAGCAAAATTTATGCCTTAATTATTATCATTTTAGTGGTGACAGTTGTAGACACTATAGATAATTCAATAAAAAATGATTTACATTCCGATCAGATACGCTTGTGTTCTTTGCGTTGAATAAGTCGATGAAAATCGATCACCAGTCAGATTAGCTATAAGTCAATTATACCTCATTATCAGTGTGCTTAGACTCATTTCTTTGTCAATATTTTTGAATTTAAGTACGTTTATACTTCAGACGTGTAATGTGTGTGATAAGCACTCCTCGTAATTATGTGATGCTATTTTGTTTAGAACAGCCAACCTAAATTAATAAGATGCCAAGATAGTCTTAGACGAAGTCGATTGAATTGATAGTATTTTAGGTCATTGAAACCAATGGCAGAAAGAAACTTAGTATCATCTAAACTGCATAATGTTCTAATGCAATGCCAACAGATCATGTAACGTATAACGAACTGTTGGTGAAAAACTTTCAAAGTAGTCTACCCAGATCACTGTCACAAGAGTCTTGAATCTGAACTAATAGGTCCCCCCTAAAATGCGATAATTAAGACAAGTAGCAATACATTACTCTAGTGTTTTATAAGTATCAGTTGCGAAAATCTATAAGGCAAAATATTGTTGTGAATTTAACTGAGCTACTTATTTAAAAATAAATAGTAAAGTGTGTTCTGGTAAATATTTTCGCAATCACTCGCAAAAGCTCAACGATCTAGTGAAATTACTTTTAAATAAGAGAACAAAATTATCATTCGATTCTATTAGGAAGTACGTAATGCTAGGTCAAAAGGGGTTCCAAGTGTCAATGATAATCTCCTGGTTACATGGGTTGCCCTCATAAGTCAATGAAATAGAAATTAATGAAAACAATTATATATACGGTATCTATGATTTTGAAACTGTCTTTATCATGTGTTCTAAAAATTCCTCATACCTACAGGTTGAATATATGTTAGGCATGATATAGTGGTTTGAACATCTATAAATAATTTTAGTGGTGTAAAATATATGTGAACGGATTAACTTGAAACAGACGAAAATCAGAGAACACAAAATAGATATATTGTTCTAGTATGTGAAAGTTTCTACAAATGATCATATTGGTAATTGAACTCTGAACCTTCGGATTTCACAGTAAAGTATTATTGAAACTACCACCGATTTCAGATCCAGTAGTTTGTATTCTAGAATTCATTCAATTCATGAAATTGGACTAATATAATTCATCACAGTATCACAAAAACGTTTTGTAAAAGGCCTACTATTTTTATCTTTTGTCTATCTAAAGTCAGTTTGTGATTCAAACAAAAAATTAACTAACAATAACAAATTTGCAACAATAATAACGATAACTATATGAAATAATAAAACTCTTTAGACTGATTTGAATCCGGCTCTACTGTAGGAAGTGAATGTTTCGGTAAAATATGCTTCCTATGTATAGTTCATTCATTCGTCCTTCTGATTGCTGTATACATGCATTTCTTAGAAACGTTTTCACAACAACTCGATTAAACCAAAATATATATGAAGTCCAATTTGTTATGACCTTGGATGTCTGACTTTTCTATCATGCGACTTATCAACCAATCAGGATCCGGTTTATACAATCTTCACACTATGCCAAACCAATGACGTTCAACCGGTATGAGCAGTTTAACGTCCTTATTGGTCCTATGTCCTCCTAACCCTTCCACTTGAGTCCAGAACACAATACCAGCTTCTGTAATATGAATCGAATCGAATCGAATCAGATCACATCAGACCAGATCGTTTATTTCGGACATACTCGGTTTATATATCAATCAGACAGACCGCAACGTACCATAAAATAGAAAATAACATGTGTACACAATAAAGCCAAAAAGTGGCTGTGAACGAGGGGGACAGTAATTAACAGACTGAGCATAGCTTAAGAATCGTAAACCGTGCAATAATAAAATACAGGTCAAAATAAAGCTTATAATAAGAGGAACATAAATAGACATAATCTAATTACTCAATACTTTTACAATAAGAATATTTATAGAATATTAGTCCATTAATAGTCCTCGGGAGTTACCTGTAATTTATTCTTCACCGGGATATAACACAATTATCTTATATTCTGTGTAAATTTTAGTTTTTTTTATCAGTATTTCAATAATATCAATGATTTATAATATCTTTGATTCATCCTAATTCCCTAATTATTGTTATAAACAAGAAATCATTCAAACATCAATAATACAAACTAATTCATCTCTCAATCAAGTATCAGATATCACTTTTGTTTGAATGCAACAGAATTTCTATTATTATTATTATATCCTACTTTATAAGTACTCTCAATTCATAAACTATTGAAATTCCACATCATAATATTGTTTACAATAATTGTATATATAATGAAATTGCTAAAAAATACATTGTACACTATAAAAAAGTTTCAATTACGTACATAACCATTGTAAAAGTTTATTTTTTTTTAAATAACTAAAATTTATAATACCTACTGTCAAACATATAGAATTAGGAACTTATCCATATAGATTTACTCCTAATGGGAATAAAATAGCTAAATTCACATTCATGTCAATATTACAAATATAATTTCTATACATCATAAACTAAAATGATACGTAAAATAGTGAGAAATTTGTTTTTCTTTTTCTTAAAAAATAAATATGCACTATACACATTGATTGGCAACAACTCTATATATATTTATCCAATTAATAACATAAATAATGTTAAATAATTAATAAAAGTCAGTTTCTTATTTTTTTCCTTTTTTTTCCTCTTCAGTAACTGTAATTCTCTTGAACACTTGTTTAATTCATTATTTTTTTATAGTTTCACTTTTTTTCTTTTTTTCGTTTCCATTATTCTTATTATTTTCAAAATAGTAAGTGATTTTATCCTTTTCCTATATATATATCAATGAATGGGTTTAATTTCATTAGTCAAGGACTTAATTATGTATATGTTAATATATATTCGTTTGTTTGTTTATTTGTGCAGCTTTAATTTACCACTGATTGGTAGATAATATTAAACTTAATCATAATAAGATTTTCTGCTTAGACAAATCTCCTTAAATAATAATTATGTTTGTATGTGTACCGTTTACAATAAATGGTTATATATTGTTACTAAGATAAACTAATGAATATATATGTAGATATATTTATATCCAAGTCAGTTTATTTAGACCAATCAGATTACTTCACTATTAGTTGAATAGAAATATGATAAAAGGCACATCATTGCTGTATTAAAAAATAATAATAAAACAACAACAACAAGTTTTGATAGACTCTTTATGACACATTATACATTATAATGGATATTGCTATTAACTTAACATTATGGAATCATTATATAAAATGGTCTAATTTAATTAATAAATTATTCTCATTACTACTTAAATGACTTAATTTAAAAAAAAAACAAGAAAAAAACACAACATTCATTGAAGATGATTGTCCTGTTTAACAAATGATCAATTATCATTATTACTAAACAACATGTAACATAATAAGGAAAAATGATTGTACAACAGCAATAACAACAACAACAATGGCAAAAACAAAAAATGAGAGATAAAAACAAGAAGAAAAGAATCAAATTTGATTAGATTAATCTTTCGTCTTACTGTTTTGTTTTGTTATTTTTTTGTTGTTGTTTTTATTTACCGGTGAAATGTGGATATTTATTAATAAACTATTCATATGGTTTCTTTTGAAAATAATCATAATTATGGATGTATTACCTTTAATGGTTTACAATTATTCTAATCATTTATGTAAAATAAAACAATTTCAAATACCAGTGAATAGTGAGTTTATATTGTAAACATTTTGTCATTTTATTAAAACACTTACTTATTTACTTAGATACTTACTTACGCCTGTTACTCCCAGTGGAGTATAGGCAGGAACATGTCGATATATAGTTTGTTCTTAACTTAAATTGTCAGTCTACTGAGAACATTTATGAAAAACAAAAGGGATGATTATGTGTTGATATACTGGGTATAGATGTTGAGAAATTTTCGGTTTTTTTCCTCGATCTACATGAAGAGTTTCTTAACCATTGAATTAACAGGAATCTAGGATCACTCTTATTTAGTAGAATCAGTTGCATATAAAACAATTATTTAGTAGTTTTATTAAAGTTTAAATTGTACTCTATTATATTGATATTTTTATTATTTTTGGCTTTCTATATTATTTAGCAGTTATCTAGTAGTTAAGCTAAGATGAGCTATTTCTTTCAGAATCAGTATGTATATTTGTTACTTTCACGGTTTAAAACTTTAAAACCTAAATGTTCTCATCAAATCTGAAGTCACTAGCTTTATATGAAAGAACATCAATTTAGTAGCGAGGAATTATAGCAGAAAATCTTAGAACTGGAAACAATGTTACTCTTTATATTGAATAGATTCATGAAGTATAATCATTTTAATAGATTCACTGAATTCATATATAACTAATCGAAAAAACATCTGAGTTAGTCATTAAAAAAATTCTTTCTTCAGTAATTACTAACGTATAAAATGACCTTCTATAGAATAATGTCAGATAAAAATGTTTGGGAAAATTAATTAATTAATTGTCTATACCATTAGAAAATGATTGGTTCCTTTTTGTAAAAAAAACTTTAACATCTATAAAGTTACTTAATCGTGTATTTCATGCTGTGATGTACTAACTACGTATTGACCTACATTAAAATGAATAAGATTTTTTTTAAATAAAAGAAATAATTTATTATCAAAGGATTATGGTACTAGTTGACTATTAATGTTTACAAGACTCTAGACTTTTCATACTGTTGAAAACACTAGAATAAATGATCACCTTGACAATTGAAAAAGACAAGAAAACATCATTTGATATAATAAAATTATAAAAGGGATATGACATTTTAAATTCAAAGAATACCAACAGATGAAATTGCATACATTTTCAAAACTGGTTTTAGTGATCAATTAGAATTGAATATCTACAATTATTCATTATACCAAGCAAAGAAGTTATAATATTTGGGATATGAATTTTAAAATGCTATGGAAACGTCAACTAATGAGTTTTAGCGACCTGATATCTGACTACAATTGGATCGTAAAAAAATGATTGTTGTGAAATTATACGACTTAGCCATCCTCGTATATAATCATCGGCATAAATCGCGTCAGTGAATAATGCAATTAAATAAGATAAATACGAGAATGGATATTTGAATGCGTATATTTTGTACACTCGTTGATCAACCCATACAATCAGAGAAACGGAGCAACGGAATTGAAGAAGAGAAAGAGATTGAGGCGGAACGAAACAACACGCAGTGGAGTAGGCGAGTAAGGTAGCTTGATTTGGTCAAGCGTTGGTCGATATTTATAGTTGAACAAAAATAAATTTCAGACACCTTATGAGTAAGATAACAAATGCACACACATACATTTACATGAAAACAGTCAAAATTGATATGTGAATAATTAACATGATCAAAATGTATCTTGAGGAGAATGGATGAATTGTTTCTTCCAGAAGCAAGAATAAGCTATGTGTGTTCGACATAGGATCAGCCACTCCAGAATATGAATTTTAGTTAAATCAATTATAAATGGTATATTCTAAACATCCATTTTTCGAACTTGATATTCACAACTTTATTCGTTTAGAAAGACAACATCATAAGTTTGGTAAATAATCTTGTTTACCTTTATTCATATTCATAAATTAAAATCAAGTAAATCTCAATACAATAATCAAATAGTAGTTTTGATAGTTGTGTATGGTGACATTTTACAATTCGTTATTATTATTTTTCATTCCCCCTATATGATTACATTAATAATCAGTATAATATTTTTGTCAAATCTGTACTGTGTACATCATTTTCATTCACGTAAATGTGTCATGTATTTAATGCATAGATAATAAAAGAAATAAAATGTCCTAAGTATGTGAATGATTAAGTGAATGTCTTCAATGATACTTTGTCTATGAAAAGCTGATTTTTTCTATTTTTCCACTTTTTATACATGATACATATACCATATAAGTATGTTATGTTTGTAAAGGTTAAACTATGTTATCCGTGGAGATCATACTGCAGTATCTTATTTAAATAGGAAACATTTAGTGATATAAACCAGTTTGGAATTTAATAACCAGTTCACTGAATGTTATTGGTGATAAAGTATTATAAATTATGCTAAAAATGTCATTAGTTAGACGCTGTACACAACAAACTTGGTAAATACTATTTTCTGGACGATATATCGAACAGGGAAAGTATTTATTACAATTATTATAACAGCGTTTCTTTGTATTTGATTATATTATCAGGTAATCATATAAGCCCCTCGAAATTTATCTGTTAATTGTTTGATTCAATTTGTTAGTTAGAAGTAACTTCTAGTAATATATATATTATAGTGGCTGGTCCTATGTCGAACACACATAGCTTATTCTTGCTTCTGGAAGAAACAATTCATCCATTCTCCTCAAGATACATTTTGATCATGTTAATTATTCACATATCAATTTTGACTGTTTTCATGTAAATGTATGTGTGTGCATTTGTTATCTTACTCATAAGGTGTCTGAAATTTATTTTTGTTCAACTATAAATATCGACCAACGCTTGACCAAATCAAGCTACCTTACTCGCCTACTCCACTGCGTGTTGTTTCGTTCCGCCTCAATCTCTTTCTCTTCTTCAATTCCGTTGCTCCGTTTCTCTGATTGTATGGGTTGATCAACGAGTGTACAAAATATACGCATTCAAATATCCATTCTCGTATTTATCTTATTTAATTGCATTATTCACTGACGCGATTTATGTCGATGATTATATACGAGTATTGCCAGGATTTATATTTTGACAGCCATCACTCGATAACAAGCCAAAAATGATTTATCTGGAGTGAGATTTTTGGCCATATATATATATAATGATAATGTTAATTATTAGAAGGTAAGAATATTAAAAGGAGCAAGAACGAAGATTAATGCAGAATAATATGAATTCATTTAATTTGTTAGTTTTTCTTCAGTTGCTTGCAACCTATAATATTTGAAAATCAACATTATTACAGATATTGATATACTTATACATAAGAGCGTGATTAAAGATGAATTTATGTATCATGATGTAGCGAAGATTTCAAGAAGTAATAAGGTCATAAATATTTGTTTAGGATAAATGTTTTGTGAGGGAAAGTTCCAGAACATCGAAATAGTAATTAGAACTCATGGAGTTAACAAACAATAGATGATTGTGTAAATAAGCAACTGAAAACAGATTAGTGTTAATAATGATATAAATTAAGATCAGTCAATTATGAATTAAAGAAAAATGACAATGATGTAATTAAAACTTCAGAAAGAGTAGGAATAATAAATGACGTAATAAATAAAAAGTGGGGTCAATGTTACCAGGGCAGAGAAACATTTACTACTGTCTCTTTTTGTATACACAGATCGGGTTTTAGATGTTTGATTGTATTACTTCGGCAAATTTTAAAAATGGTTGGAGTTTGATTATTTATTATTCACCTAGAAGGACTTCAGTGTTGAGATTTAGATGGTGGTTGGAGGTAGTCAACAGGGAACCCTGGACCCGGGTTTCGTGCTACAGGAGGTTAGTCACGGCTCGGATAGCTCAGTGGTAACGTCTCTGACTGTGAAGCTGGGTGACACGAGATCGAATCAACCAGGGAGCACCAGTTCCCTCAAGATTACAGGTACACCTTGCTGACGAGTGCCAAGTAGCACGAAACCCGGGTCCAGGGTTTCCTGTTGACTACCTCCAACCACCATCTAAATCTCAATACATGGTGCCCGCAGTGTCAAGTCACCTAGACTGGTGGCCACATTGCAACATGATCGATAGCATTCGATCTGCACTAATAAGGACTAGACAAGCATGACATTGATCATCACCTAGTGATCAATCAATTGGGACTTCAGTGTATCAACTTCATGTCCTGTGTCAAGGAGATGTCTTACAACAGCACAACTGAATGATTTTAGTCCATTTGATTTTAAACTTTTCGGATTATTTTCTTTAAATTAGACATAGGCTCTCCTTTCTATTCTACCAAGGTAACTGCTTTGGTAGATACATGTAAATTTGTTCATAATTTACTTTTCTTTAAAAAAATCTTTCATTAAATTAATATTTGGTCACTTTAAATAAAGAAACTTAATCATTTAAAATAAAAATTTCATTGGTTTAATGAAATAATTTCAGTGTTTTGCTACTTTTTGCTTCCCTTTCTACACTAATTAATGGTGTTTACAATCTGTTAATGAATAAAGCATAAATTATTTATATATAGATCATGATTATGATTTATTTCGCTTTGTCGTTTACCAAGATTTCATTTCAATTTGTATTTGTATTCATAAATACATGGGACTTTTGTCCAGAAATAAGAATATCTTTCTTGTCATTTAAGTGTTCTGGAAAAGAATATTATTGATCATATCATACATATAAACTATATATATATATATATATATATATATATATATGGAGAAAGAGAGAGAGAGAGATGAACACTAAGAAAAAAAGAGAAGACTAGAATAGTGGGAAGTACATTAATAAGAAGTGGACACTTACTTGTATGAATTTATGTTGACATTGACAATTGTAATTATTTTTATTATTACTTAAGTTTCTTACATTATAATGATCTATATTTATTCAGAATATAACAATTAAAAACTACATCAAGGAATGGTGAAATCCACAGAAATACTGGAGTAATGTATATTAAGTATATCAATAAATGTTTATGTCATAGTTGTTTTTAGAAAA